ACAGATAATCATTCCGTGTTGGAGTATTGTAACAGCAAATACACAGTTCGATGAAGGTGCAAACAAAATTGATACCATAACTGGCACTACGTTGGATGAAAACAAAAAACAACAAGGTAAGGTAAGAACATAAACGTGAGTTATTCAGGAAATCCATGCATATTACATGAGCATTGAAAATGGAGTGTAATGCACACTTCATACACAAACAAACAAAGAGATTGCATATATATTGGTATCTGTTTCTCACACCATATCATTTTCTGTTGTTATACATAGTAATTTTCTTGTTCGAGATATTTTTTATCCATGGCCAATGTCACAGAATGTAGCAGCAGGAGTGCTCAGAAAACAAATGATGTGTGGCCATGCAGAATGAAGCTAACAAGAGATTGCATGCGCTGGGATAGCCTCAAGATTTCACCTAAGGAGTTTGAAGAAAGCTTGCTAGGGCACATGAATGAAAGCAGCCGCAAAGCTTTGGAGTCATGGATTCCAGTGAAGATCTTGATTTATGATGTTGATAACGGTGAAACTTACGATGCTAAGTTGTTCAAGAAAGAGTCATTTTGGTTTGATCCTATGCCTGTTTCTGGTGAAAAACCAACGAAGGGAAAATCCATGGAGGAGCCACCTTGTTACAATTTGGAAAAGGCAAGGGAAGAGTTTGCTTATTCGATCGAGCCTTTCAGACAGATCATAAGGAAAAGAGATCTGAAGTATGATCAAGAAATTGGACTTCGCTACTGTGGTGGCAATGTGGTTGTGGCCTTCGAGTTTTCGGTTCTGCATTCACCACCTTTAGATATTCGTAGCTTAAGACCTTAATTATATATAGATGTAACGATGAAACACATTTCAAGATCATTCGTGCTGGTTTAGTTGCATTTTTACTTTGTGATAGTTAGAAATTCTATATATCTATGTTCAAAGAGGAAAAAAAAACATGCTTAGATTGATAAATTTGTCCATTTCAAAACTAATGGCTGAGATATTTTCTTTGTTTTCTCCTGATTTTGCTTTGTAGAGGGATGCGTGACGAGGAAGAGTTACAGATGATTCAAAAATTGAAACTAAATCTGACGCAAGATGAACGAGAAGACGCGGCGCTAGGGTTTTTTAAGGACTAATTGAGAAAAAACAGGAATAAAGAAAATGACAAAAATAAAATATATATCTCAAAAACTAATATATGGATGTCCGTATATTAACCTTCCTAATAGTTGTAGGTTATAGAGAAAAAAATTGCTAGGAGTTGCACAATTATTACGTCGAATAAACATGGTGTTATTTAAATTAGTTTTTCTATTGCGATAAAAATTATAATATATAAACTAAATAAAATCATCCTTGACTAAAATAAAAAGAATGAACCAAGATATTTATTTGGTGTAAGAAATTGAATATTAAATGTTAAGGATTGAACTTATGACACAATTGTTATTTTGGAATTTATTAAGCCTACACAAAAGATGCCACCACAATGTAGATGTGTTGTGGAAGTTAAATTAATAATTTAGAATATATAGCTTAGTGTTTTTATATGTAATAAAAATTATGATTTGATATTAAAAACTATAGCGGAAAATTGGTTACACCAGTGATTAAGGTTGGGCTTGGATGATAGGTGAAAATGTACAGAAATGTTTGTTGATAAATTAATTGCGCACGCATTCCACATGGATCCGCTTCACTGGACTCAGACACATATAGGAAGACAAAACGACACGGATTACTCAGAACCCTTGGGGAAGAAGAAGAAGAAGAAAAAGCAATGAAGTGAGAGAGAAACTTTTGGTTTGTGAAATCGCAATTCATAGCATAACCGAAGAGAAATGGAGGTCAGAGCCAGAGCACCGGGGAAGATTATATTGACCGGGGAACATGCTGTGGTTCATGGATCCACCGCAGTTGCTACTTCCATTGATTTATACACCTACGTTTTTGTCCACTTCTCCACTCCTTCCGGTATTTTACTCTCTCTCTCTCGTTGATTTCATTCTGTTGTTCTTTCAATATCCGCCTCGCGATCGCAGATATGTGTTATTATTGTTATTATTTGGTTGAAACTTGCGAAATTTGTCATGATCGGTAATGGCGTGTTTGAGAGACGCTGTTTTAGTTATGGTTGAGATTCTGATTCGGTTAGGATTTGTGGATTGTGTGATAGACGACGGGGATTTGTTGACACTGCAGCTGAAGGACACGGCTTTGGAGTTCTCGTGGCCTATTAGTAGAATAAAAGCGGCGTTTCTAGAATCCGTGTTATCTTGTACTCCTACTTCCTGCTCCGTTGAGGTTGCCAAGATCATTGCCGCACTCGTTGAAGAGCTGGACATTCCAGAGGCCAAAATTGGAATTGCCTCTGGAGTTTCCGCGTTTCTCTGGCTGTACTCTTCTATTCAAGGGTCTGAACCAACTCTAAAATTCTTGTTGTGTGAGTGTGAATGTGTTTTTGTTTTATTTGTGTAGGTTTGATTGTGTTTTGCTCTTTGTGTAGATTTAAGCCTGCTACTGTGGTTGTCAATTCTGAACTTCCTCTCGGTTCAGGATTGGGTTCCTCGGCCGCGTTTTGTGTGGCTCTCGCGTCGGCCTTGTTGGCTTATACTGATTCTGTTTCTCTGGATTTGAGTCATCAAGGATGGCTCTCCTTTACGGAGAAGGATCTTGAGTTGGTAAATAAGTGGGCCTTTGAAGGGGAGAAGATCATTCATGGAAAGCCATCTGGAATTGACAACACAGTAAGCTCGTATGGTATGCCTCAGCGATTTTGCTACTAAGTTTCATTAACTTTTATTGATTACTGTTTGGAACTTGTCTTTTTGTGCATTTATTCTAGTTACTGATGATTAGAGTTTGAATATTTTGTATTAATAGGCTGAAAAGGAACATAACCTTTGTATAATAGGAGTTTGGAGAGGATGAATGAAATGTTTTCGGTTGTTAAGAAGGGATGTGGGAACTAGCCGTGTACGTGTTTCTCTTTTACTTGTTCTGTTAATAGTCTCACCAGAACTAATTTTAATTAATGTGGACCGGAAGGCATAACTTAAGGTCATGCATGGCACACTGATTTGTGCCAGTGAATTGAGAAATATACAAGTCTATGATGGGAGATATATCATGTATAAATTGTGATTTGTTTGGAGTGTTTAATTATCATATACTGTGTTTACAAATGTAAGTTACTGCCATTGAATCTACAACTCACTGGATAGTTACCATTATCAGGTAACATTATCAGCTTCAAGTCAGGTAACATAACGCGAACAAAGTCAACTTTGACACTTAAAATGCTCATCACGAATACAAAAGTTGGGAGAAACACAAAAGCATTGGTTGCTGGTGTTGGAGAGAGGATGCTAAGGCATCCTGAAATAATGGCTTTCGTGTTTAGTGCTGTTGATTCTATTAGCAAGGAGCTGACTTCCATTCTCAAGTCACCCACACCTGATGAGCTCTCTCTAACTGAGAAGGAAGAGAAGATAGAAGAACTAATGGAAATGAATCAAGGTCTGCTCCAGTCTATGGGGGTCAGTCATGCCACTATAGAAACTGTTCTGAGAACAACATTGAAATATAAGCTAGCTTCCAAATTGACTGGAGCTGGTGGTGGGGGCTGTGTTTTGACGCTGCTTCCAACATGTATCCTCTTCAATTATTGTTCTTTTCCTTGTGCTTCTAATGCTTTCCATTACTCTCTAGTTTTCTTTTTCTTTTTTATTTTCTTGTCTGCAGTTAGTTAATAACCTATGTTTGCTTTATTATTCTATTAATCGCTTTGGTTTAGAAAAGAGGAGGGAAAGGGAAGGACTCCTTGTTTAGTTTGAGTGGACTTGACAGAAAATAAAATAATACACTATCATACTCTTATCATATACTAATGAAACCATTAAGTTCAAGTATTCAAACTAATGATAATTTAACCAGACAATTTTACAAACTTCAAGCGTTTTCCCTCACCTTCAAATCCTTAAATATTGGAGGAGAGACAAAATTAACAGGGAGGGGCTCTTTTTACCCGTAAATACTGCCGGCAGGATTGTCCTGGATGTTCTGCTATTTATGTGCTGCCTTGTTAGATAAGCACGAGGTTTGTATATATACACTCATAAGGCGTTTATTAAACCCTAGACATGCCCTTTTTTGGATTAACTTTTTAACACAGGAGTTTTCCAGTTGAGATAAGTTTAAGGTAGCCCATAAATTTGAATTAGGGGCATATGAAGTAATTGGGTCAGAAAATTGGGAGAGGTTAAATGAGGAACCTTCTTAGAAAGTTAAGGACTGCAAGTACTTGTTCAGAAATTTATGCCCAAGTGCATATGTGCTGGTTGAAAGTTAAATGAGGCAACTTCTTGATTTATTTTGTTCTTCTTCTCTAAGTGTTTGTTATGATATATGGACTTGACTACATAAGCATGGCTAGAAAACCTGGAAGTGACAGTAAAGACGTGTTTCTTTAGAGGAAAGTCTTTGCATTTATCTATTTTTTCTATATGACTTTCATTTACTCCAAGTAATGTCATTCCACTTCATACATCACAGTTTTCTTTCTCTAGATATTGTTTGGGCGATTAAAACTTAATTTTCTGGTGGTGGACGATTTATTGTCTTCATAAGAATAGAAACCAAAGTCGTTTCCTTAATCCTTGTTGCCCATCATGATTTCTTAGCTTGTAAGTATAATATATTTTTTAATCTCAATTTCTTGTATCGCTTCCTTGACATACTTTAATCAGTACTATCAGGCACTATTGTAGACAAAGTAATTGCTGAACTGGAGTCATGCGGATTCCAGTGTTTCATTGCTGGAATTGGCGGGGGAGGTGTTGAAGTTAACTTTGCGATGTCATCTTGATTTTCTATTTTTATTTTTCCAGGTATTTGATATCGACAAGTATCAGATCCTCACATAAACAGCATAAATAAATATGCTTCCTTTTTTACATCTAGCGTGTCAATCTGTAACTTTTTCTCTGTTGTTGAATTAATTTAAACAGTTTCTTATTCAATCCTGAATGGAATTGGCGGATATAAATTCGCGTATTTGATTAAGAACATGGTAGTCAGCGGGATCGTGGAGTGACGTATCGTATCCAAGGTCCGTCTCTTTCACACGCACACGCTTTAAGTGATCTTACTGATGTGGTTTAAAAATTGTATGAAAACGTTTTAGTGTCATAAGGCTGACTCAGATACTAATTACCTGGACTGCTTCGAGAATATTGCCGGATGAACTGAAAACAGAACAGTACGTACAAATTACCCCTTTTTCGTACTAAGTAGCCAAGCCATTTTTGTGTCTGGATATTGAATCCAGTTATATTGCTAGACTCGTGAGAGATGAATCGGATCCATTTTCTTGACCCTTAATAAAAATAGTACATCCTTTACATAAAAGGAGTTGAAAATATGGAAATGAATGAGGATACTTTCTTAATTACAGAAGTGTTCTTTTCTTCCTGCGTTCCCATAACTAGTAAGTGTTTCCTCAATTTTTAAAATGATTATTTTACTCTTCGTAGAAGTTACTTACGTTACATCTATAGGATGTGTAAAGTATAAAAATACTCTTACTGTAGTTATGAGGATAAATATATTGAATTTTCATGATTTTACATTGCCTAGTTCACTTGATTTATTTTCTTGGATGAATAAGCCAATTGAGAGTTTCACGTGATAGGAAGTTTCATAAACACACTTTTATTATTCATAATCACGCTTAATTTTGTTCAGTAAAATAATTACGAACAGAATTTTGACAAAATGGCAGTTGGTGGCTAAGACAATCATTACGGAGAAATTGAGCTCTACAATGACCACATCTGTCCACATTACAATAGATAGTCTTACACTCAATTTCAAGTAGCATTTTTATTAGTTTTACACTATATGTTTCATAGCAAAACATGGCTTACTTTCAACTACAATCTTCATCCAAACATGTAAATTCTTCCCTTCACATTAACTCCCCAGAGATTGTCAATGTAACGTACACCAACCTCTATTAATGAGAATCAATTATCTTTGGAAAAACTCATCAAGCATTCACAATGGTTCCACCTGAAAGAAAAAAGCCAAAAAAAAAGTAAGTCAAATACGGAACAATAAGTGCCTGTAGTTAAAATAGTATTAGTGTGTTTATGACCATTGGGGTGGAGAACTTGGCCAGTTATGTAAGAGGAGCATTGGTTGCTAGCAAGAAAGACATAAGATGGAGCAACTTCAATAGGTTGGCCTGCTCTTTTCATTGGTGTTTCTGAACCAAATTCAACAATTTCTTCCACCTTCATAGTTGCTACTACTAATGGAGTCCAAATCGGTCCAGGTGCAACCCCATTCACTCTTATTCCCTTACTCACAAGCTGAAGTGCTAAGGCCCTCGTAAACGCCACAATGGCTCCCTTTGTGGACGTGTAATCCACCAGCGTTGCATGTCCCCTGTATGCATTCACTGATGTTGTGTTGATAATGCTGCTTCCTTCCTTCATGTGCTTCACAGCATGCCTATAAAATGAATGTCATAGGTTACATGTAATCTATTTTAGTTTCAATCACTGCTTTAATAGTTAACGAAATAGATAAAATAGATCATGTTGTGAAGATCAATGTCGGAAAAAATGTTAGGTTTGGTTATCTATTTACTTGGTCATGAAGAAATGAGAAAATATATTAGTTCGAAACACTCTCTCGAGTCTAGTTTCATCGATCTCTTCCAATGATTCACTCTCATATTGCTCGGCTGCATTGTTGACCAAAATGTCAATGCGACCATAAGCATCTACCACCTCATCCACCACTCTTTTGCAGTTGACTTCATAACCCACATCCACAGCTATAGCCATTGGATCTTTGGCATCTGCAGTCTTAGCTTTTCTGATAATTTCAAGTGTGTCTTTGGCATCTATGTCTTCCTGTTCCTTCACATAGGTGAAGATAACAGTAGCACCCTCCAACGAAAACAAGTTACATACGGCTCTGCCAATTCCAGAGTCACCTCCAGTTACTACAGCTACCTTCCCCTGAAAATATATATAACCGATTAAGCAGAAGGAGATAGAAAAAAGTACTTTCAGATAAATAAATCACTGCATATTATGATATATATATATGCCTTCATACTTGAAGTTTATTTGATGGTCTGTAATCTGGACTGCTATATTGGGGTGGTGGATTCATCAGATACTCTTTGCCAGGTTGTGTGTCTTGCTTCTGAGGGGGGAAGTTCTGTTTACCAGAAGCCATTCTCTCTCGTAAAAGAGCTTCAATTTTGAGAATCTAAAAGATGGTCGAAAACTGTGTGGTGTAGTCCTTAGGTGAAAGGATGCTTTATAACGTTGTCCTTGTTGAAGAAAGTGTTAGGAACGTAGGGTACGTTTGTGATTATGGAATGCAAATTGATGGATACACATACTAATACACATGTTTTGTCTAGTGATTTATTCAGAATTAGCAAGAAGGAGGCGCTCATGTGTTGTGTTGATAAGTTGCATAAAAAGAGAATAAAAAAATAATATTTATTGAGAATAAAAACAATTAGATGCCAAAGTACCATTCTTCACTATAATTGTAGAAGTGGCACTCGGTGGGATTAGCTTGTGGTGTTAGACACGTTTTTTATTTGGTTATCCTTCCAATGTTAAAGTGGTTTCCTTCAGGACACGTTTTTTTTTCCTTAACTAATTTTGTGACAACTGTCGGGGCATCTTTATTTGGAGAAAACGTATTCTTGAAGGTGCCGTCTAATTAATATGATCGGCTACAACTAACTTCTACAATACAATTTTCGGAAGTGTAAAACCTATTCATTACAGTCCTAATAAAAAACATACTAGGTAAAAAATATCAATTATCATTCCCATACTCCTATCTTATACTTACATGTGTATAAAATTTTATTCTCATATCTATCAAACATCGAATACATTTTTCTGTAAGTTATTTTATTTTTTTAAACATTAATTAAATAATTTATAAAAATAAAAACTATAATAAAATAAACATGATACAAATAATAATTAACAATTAAATAAAAAAATAGGATAAAAATATAGAGAAGAGGAAAAATTATACCTATTCTAAAAATAAATTATAAAATTAAAGACAATAAAAAATTCATATAAATTTTGTAAATTATCTGAAAATTATATATGTTTTAATAATTTAAAACAGGATGAATAAAAAGATCAAATATATAATATATATTATATATTATTTTTGTCTTTATACCTAGTTTAAAAAAAATTAAATATTACTTATATCACTTCCCTACTTAATAATGCTATAATTCTTTATTAAGATTTATAAAGAATGCTAGAATTCTTTATTATGATTAGAACATGATGAGAAAATGTAATTTTACAATTCATAGTACCTGGTATGGAACTGCATTTGACTATGTAGTTAATGTGACAGAAAATAAATTATTTTTTGAATACGTTAAGGATGATTTATAGTTAAATGATAAATTGATAGTTTCTAGAAAAATTACTATTCAATCTTTGTGAATTGTATTTTGACTTCTACTTTCATTAAAATTTTCAATTATTTTCTATAGCGGTCGTCAGGGGATTATTATTTAGTCCTGTTTAATTAGAAATCAAACATTTACAAATACATAATAACCCTCCTATCCATTACTACAACGATATACATAATAATTAGACAAAGAATAACCATGCAATTAATTTAGAAAACAAATTAATAAGCACCTAATTTTCCAAATTTTCGAGCACTGGAAATTTAAAGCATTAACAAAAACCTATAAGAAATGTAATGATCTCACACGTAAAACCATTATGCTCCACAACTTGAACACTACATCACACGTGCCTTATCCTTATCGTCTCTGTACTCGCGAAAACATTTCACAGAATTTAACACCTACATATGTTTAGAACATATGTTTAGAAAGACCTTCCATAAAGTGAAAAAATAGATTTTTAGAATGAGGTTTGCCTTCATTTATAAATTATAAATTAAATTTTTTATGTGTAATTTAAAAAATAAGGATAAAAAAATAAAATAAATATTTTCAAAGATTAAAAATTATTTATATTTAATAAAATTTATTATCTCATTATATATATATATATATATATATATATATATATATATAGTCTCATTAAATCACTTTAAAATGATATAATTTATTTATTTATTCTTTTCTTGAAACAGATCTAACCTATAATTAATTAGTAGCGGGTTGACGAGTAGTTATAGCATAGGTGTGTGTAAGTTGTATATGGAATACAGATTGTTTTAATATTTCATTTTGACGTTGCCAACTAGAATTGGCAGAAAGAATTTGGATGATTTGTGTCGGTTTGGACAGATACTTAAAGAATCGAGATGAAAAAGAGTAGATATGAAACAATATTGATATTCTATTAAATACGTAAAATTAAAATTTTTGTTTTGATATATTTTGATTTTAAAAGTTTAAAAGTAATAGATATAAGTTTTATATTATGTAAACTTTTTTTACATTTTAAACTGCATTTTAATTTGCTTTTGCATTATTTATATTATTTAATACTTTCCAACTTAAAAAACTTATTTTAAAATACCATTTAACATATAAAAAATTGAAGATTAAATTAAAAAATTATATCTATTTACTTTTGAAATTTGAAATTAAAATTTTAAACAAAAAGTCGAATCCAATTTCAAATTGAAGTTTAACTCATAAAAGTTTCATCAGTTCTCTCAACATCTCCATAATTTTCTTATACATATCCTTTTCATTAATAATTACCAATATTCAAACATCGATTAACACTTTACCCACATTCGAACGTTATTTACAATTTTTTTTACTTAATCGACATTCGAATGCTGATTAAATTTCTTTTTTATTTAATCAATGTTCCAACGTGGGTTAAATTTTTTTTTGATTTAATATTAATAATAATAAAATATATTTAAAAAGTTAAAAGTTTAATATTTTAAATTAAAAAAGAGAATTAAAAAACTATTTAAATTTAATTCATCTTTTTAAAATTAAAGGTGATAAAACAGGCCATTCCAATTATTTAAATTTGGTTTAATATTGGTATGTCAAAAATAGACCAAGACTGGTCTGTAATGGATTGAATTTTGGCCTAACTGATTGAGTTACTTGTTTTTTTTTCATCAAAAGTTTAATATAACATAAAAATGAGTTAATTTGTTTTACATGAAAATAGTTTAATGATCAGCTACGGGACTGATTCCGGATTGAAAGAGTTATGGTTTCAAATCTTAACCGAGTTATATCATACATCGACTGAATTATATTAAACTTTGGTCGAACGGTATTAAATTTCAGTTAAATTATTGGATTTTAATTTTTTAATGAAGCTAAACTCACATACTAATTCATTATAATTAATAATTTTGTCATCTATTTAAAATCCATAATCGATTTATAGTGGAAAATTTGTATCCAATATAATATATATATATATATATATATATAT